TGGTGATAGGTGGACAGACAGGCACCTCAGTCTCCACCTCCTGTTAGTCTTTTGCCCTCTTCCTTCCATCTCATGGCCTTGCAATCTTCAGTGGCTGGCTTACTCCACTGAACCTCAGCTTTCCCATCTGCAAATGGACATTCAACCCCTACCTCTGAGGGCTACTGTGGAAGGTGTCCAGCCCAGAGCACATATTCTAAAAATAACACTTGGGATTTCAGTTCTTTCCCCTTCAGAGAATCTTAAGTCAAATATATCAATGGCTTATCAGGGTCAGACACTGTTCAGGCCCTCTAGCCTCTTTCATTGACCCTGAAACCAAGCAGGGCTCCTCACATGTGGGCCCTGAGCAGCTGACACTGGGGAATGGAGCACAGCCTGTCCATGGAGCGGACATGGTGTCCAGGTAGATACGAGCTGCTTGCTACCTGCAGATACTGGGGGGCAGCCACACCTGCCTTTTCAGAAGGGGCTCTATCTTCTCTAGGAAGAACATGTGAAACTTGAGTGCCGGCAAAGTACAAACAAGATCCTTCTCTTTTTTCTCCTATGTGACAGTCAGGGCCTCTGAGCCCGCTAGCTTTGGCATAGCCTTCAAAATAAATCCATTAATGAAGTATTTCAGATTGCTAAAATATATAAAAAGTGTTGTAGTGGCCAGTCATGTACATACTATCCCACCTAAGAAATAATTAATGTAAATAAATCACACAATGGAGCCCTTGCTCCGCAGAGGCAAGCCCTACTCTGGGGTTTGTGTTTATTACTTCCTAGTCACATATGGAAGAACCCCTGTAAAATGTGTAGTTTTGTTTTGTATGTTTCTAAGCCTTATCATAAAGCAATATCATACAATGTGTAATCTACAACTTGTTTTTCTTTGCTCAACATTGTGAGTTCATCCAAGTAGCTCTACTTTCATGTCTGTAGAGGATTCTGTCATGTGACTAGACCACAGTTGTTGTATCTAGCCTGCTATTGATGGGCATTTAATTTGTCTCCAATTTTTGCTATTATGAACAATACTGTGATAAACATATTTATACAGGCTTTTTCCTCTGGCTAGAATTTTCTCCTTCCCCTCTTTGGCCATCCTTCAATTCTTATTCATCTATCAAAACCATCCTTTCGAGCCAAAAGCTCATGGGATGTCCCAGGCACAGGAGGTGCAGGCGAGAAGATGGATGGCCTTGGTGGGGCCGGGGCATTGGTGTACAGGAGAACGATGAGGATTAGGAAGAGCAAGAGGGTGGCACTTCAAGCAGGAAAGGGTCCAGACTGCCTCCCACCTCTGGTGCCTCAGAGCCCACCAAATGGAGGGTGAAGAAGAAAAAGAACAAGAAGACCGAGGGATTGGACAAAAGGGACGCAGATAATCATCAGAGTGGAAGCCTAAAGAATCAGCAGCTGTCTTCATTTTTTCATGACATCTTAAGTCCCACCAAAGATCATGACCCAAGGCAAGAGCAAAGACATGACAAAGAGGAAAACAAGTTCACCTTCCTTTCTCCCCCAGTGTAAGTCTCCCCCAAATGCTGAAATAGAATAAAACCTTTTGAACTACCTCCAGAGTCTGAGTTGGGATGGAAGTCTTGCTGATCCAGAGGCAGAAAAAGAAAGGATTCACATATGGCAAGTGAATGGGAGGAAGTGGTACCGGATTTTGGCCATCAAAGGCTTCTGCTGTGACCCCTGTGTGTAGGCACCTGAGAACCTAGCCTACCTCTTAGATAAACATGGCAGCCCTCTTTAAAAGCCGACCTCTCTAATCACTACTTTGAAGGAAACTTTATTCCAAAGCCCCCATACTGTGATTTAGTTATTACACTACTGAGTAAAAACCCACTCATGATACTGACAAGTTTATAATTTATCCTTACCACAGGTTTATGTATTAAAAAAGAATAATAACAAAAGGGAATCAAAGCTAAAAAATAAAAACAAAAACAAACAAACAAACAAACAAAAGAACATCCTCTCAAGCATCAGGCCATCAGGCCCAGAACCTTCTCCAAGGTCAGCTGGAGTCCCTTGAGGAACTTCCAGGAGGATGTTGCTCCCTGGGGAACCTGTGGGGCCCGGGGCTACTCCTTGGGAGCAGACACACATCTGACCATAAGACATTTATTCAGTCTATGTGAAGAAAGGATACAGGGCCTCAGGACAGGAATTGATGGTAGCCAAAGATCATAGACCCTGAGATCTTGCTTCAAAACCCCGAGCCTTGGTTTTCTCAAGCACAAGACAGGGTGATGGGCCTACCTCTCAACGTTAGGAGATTCCAGTGTGTGGACCAGGACTGGCAAAGTGTAAAAGCAAATATTCCTGTGTAAGTGAATGGTGGATACTTACAAAATAAAAAGAGGGACTGGCAGGCCATTGTCTCATATCTGTCTTTTCCCTTTTCCTCCTCACTAGACTGGAAGCCCGTGCAGTCCAGACTGGGCCTAAATGTGCCCTGTAACAACAAGGATTCAAAGGCAGGGTTGTGCTACCATGTGACTCAGATGCAGTCTCTGTGGGCTTTGTTAAATCCTACCCTCAAGAGAGTCAAAATCTAGGAAAGGGAAGAAGGTATGCAGTCACCTGAAATGTACAGAAAGAGTCAAACATTCCTGAGAGGCTACACTCGCCTGACCCTGAGCTTTATCACAGCCCTGAAGCAAAGGTTTATGACCCCTTTTTACCAATGGCCAAATAGATTCAAAGGGCCCAGGATATCATTTCTTCATTGGTATAACAAATCATCCTGTAATTTAGTAGCTTAAAACCAGCGGGGCTTGCTGGGATGTCTTCATCTGTTCCATGGGACTTCTGGGGCAGATCCATCAGCACATCCAAATGGTCTCTGCAGTAGGCAGGGATGTCTGGAGACTCGCCGGGCCTTTCTCTCCACTGAGGCAGTTGGATTCTATACAGTGATCCAGAACTTGAGGGGAGAGGAGTTGGCAGCTTCCTGGCCTTCTAGGGCCAGCCTGGAACAGGGACATCATCTCCACTGCACTCTATGGTGAAAGCAAGTCACAGAGCCAGCCCAGAGGATAGTGAGGAGGAGAGGAAACAAACACCCATCTCTTGATGGGAGACTATCATGCAGGCAATTTACCTCACCCAGGGTCACCCATCCTCACAGAGCCAGACGGTAAACCCAGGCCTGAGCCATTGTAATTCTGTTTCCCATATTTGGTGCCCTTCCTCCAGGCTTCTGCACATGCTGTGTGCTCAACTCGACACCCTCCTCTATTCCCTACTTCACAGATTGGCCTAACTTCCATCTACTCATCCATCAGGATACATTACTTTACCTGGGAGGGTTTCCAGGGCTCAAAAGTCCTCCTTTATATTCCCAGAGGAGCAGCCTCTACTTCCTTAATCACACACACTGTACTGCAAGTGCTGCATACCCACTGCCTCTTCTTTTAGAACACAGGCTTGCACCCTGGAGCCCAGTGCCACGCCTGGCACATGGCAGGTGCTCTGGGGGAAGGAATCCAGTAAAGGGTAGGCTCTTTCCATACTACCCAGAGTGCCTCTTATTTAAATGCTGTGCTTGCCATGGACCCTGAAATAAAGATTAGTGTTAAGGATGTTAATTGGGAAGTTCCTCTGAGATTGACACCTGTGCAAGGGATGAGAAGGAAACAGGAGTGGACTGAGGGAGCTCCCCTCCCTACAGCTTCAACTGGTCCATGGGGAGTCCTGGGGCTGAAAGAGCCGGTCAGCAGAGATGGCCAGACTTCTTAGTTCTGCCTCAGTAGTGACTCTCTGCAGTAGAGGGAGTCCCTGAAGTGGCTGAGGGCTATCTGCTTACAGTGCTCCCTGTGGCTAGTCCAACGAGTCCTTCCTTGAAGGCAGACCTGAGTGGCACATTTTCATTTTTCTCATGAGACAGAAGAGCAGTGGGAGGTAGTAGCAGTGAGAGCTCTCCCTGAGAGCTGCTTAGGATAAGTGGCCTGCCAGTTGTGGTTAGAGGAAAGGGAGCTGAGAGAACAGAGTGGGGAGCTGGGAATTCTGGGTCCAGGTCTCCATGGGACTTCATTTTGTTTGATTAACACTCGGGGACAGAACTTGAGTATAGGTTATGGCTGTTTGATCTCTGCTCCCTCCTAACTGATCCCCACTAGGGCCCACTGTCCAGACTTCTTCCAGACTGATCTTTCCTAAAGGCAAAGCAGATATGCAACTCCTCTACTTAAAACACACAATATAATCCCAGCTCCTTGAAGGGTCTGCTAGGCCCTCTATGATGGGTCCTGCCCACCTCTCCCAACTCATCCGCCAAGGTCTCCCTTCTGTCACCCATCCCCAGCCATGCCTGAGTAGGTCTGCCTCAGGGTCTTGGCAATTACTATTGCCTCTGCCTGGAACCACTTCCCCTCCAGATGTTCATATAGATGCTTCCTCAGCCCAACGTCACCTCCTCCAGGTGACTCTGGTTACTCACTTGATGCATTCCTTTTTTCATATTTATTCAACAAATACTCATAGAGCACTTACGGCGACCCAAGCACTTTTCTAGGCGGTGGGTTAGAGTGAGTTACCACCCTAGGCAACAGGGTAAGTTAGAGTTCAGGCCTTGCCCTATTGGAGCTTGCATTCTAGGAAGGAAGACAATCAACACGCAAGTAAAAATAAATACACCACGATTTCAAAGAGTGGCAAGTGCTATGAATAAACAAGAGCAAGGTAAGGAGTAGAGGGTGACTACGTTTTGGTCCCTAACATCTAAGCTCAGAGTGTCTTCTCCTCAACTACTGTGAGGCTCTCAGGGCCGGCCAGGCGCACACGGTCCGGGGCGGTCCCGCAGGAGGCGCTTGAGACCAGTGGGGCTGCGTTTAGGCTCCCCAGAGCCCCACCCTCGGGATACTTGGCTGGGCATTACTCCGCGCTCTTAACTCCCAGGAAGGGCGCGCTTGTGCAGATTAGCCAGTGGCTAAGGCCAGGCCGGGAGGGAGGGCTGGGACGCAGCCCCGCCCCCTGAGAGGTGCCTAAAAGCTCCGGGCTGGCCAGAACGGTGTTTCGGAGAGTGCTTTCTGTTGACCGTGCAAGGTAGGCGCAGCCTGCGTCCGGTCCTGCGCGCCAGGCGTGGCGGGCTCGGAGGTCCAGCCATGCTGTTTTGGCACACGCAGCCGGAACACTACAACCAGCACAACTCCAGCAGCTACCTGCGGTAAGTGCCGCGCCGAGCCCCCCGAGGACGGGGATCCGGACAGGGTCGGCCGCCGAGGCTCTGTCGGATGTCCGCTGCGCTTAGGAGAGCATTGGGGTCCGGGTTCTTCAGAGCCCTCGCAGCGCTACATTTCCTCGCTTTCTGCCCTTTGCGTTCTGAGAAGATACAGCAGCCTAGAGTCCCGCCCAGCGGCGGACAGACGGACCCCGGCGTGACCGGTCGCGCGGTGTTGGGGACCCGGCTTGCAGAACCTGGTGCCGGGGAGGGCGCCTCCCCTGACGACTCCCGCTGGCTCGGAGCGCACACCTGTTGGCCGCAGCCAACCCAAGTGTGCCTTAGAGCCTCGTCTCCTTAACCTCTGGCGTTGGAGTTTTGCTTGTCCCGAAGAAGTCTAGTGTCCTGCTCTTTGCCCCTCTCCGCCCGGTCCTTCTCCGAGCCTCTTGCCCTCTCCAGTGTCCTTGGTCCCGCCAAGGGTGGAGTAGGTGGCGAACGCTGACTTGCATCGCAGCCGCCGTCTCACGGGTGCCGGCGGGGGCTCGAAGGGTCTAGTTGCTCCCTCTTTCTAGGTGGTCTTACGCGTTTTGTCCTGAGGCCCACACGCTTCTTGCCCTTGATAGAAATCTTTCTTCTTCAGGGGTTTGACTAGCGCTCTTCAAGAAGAAAAATAAGTCCTGCCTGTCTGTGAAGTTCTCTTTTATCTGCTAAACTTAGGAAGTTGGACCCCATTATCGTCCATCTCTGGAGGATTGTTTGCCACTGTTCTGCAGCTGCCCGGGTACTAATGGGCAATCATTTCACTTTCTGAACTCGCCTGAACCAGCTTTAGCCTGTCTTTATTTCCATCCTAGTCACAATTTATGAAATGTGCCCAATTTAACCCAAATGGAATTTTGGATGGGCGCAGAGAAAGGGAATTGTGAGGCCGAGGGAGTCTCTGGAGCTGACAGCCCCCAAGTGAAAGCCCCTGGGAGTACTTTTTTTTCTTTTTTTTTCCCCCTCCAAGAAATTTCCACCCAGGTTTAGCAGTACATGTTAGTTGCTTTTTTTTCTAACAGCTTCTTTGAGAATTTATTTTTATTAACTGTACAGGTTATTTGTAAATCCTGGCTTCTGATAGGTATTTGTCCAGTAGTTCTCCTTGAAGACATCCCCCATCCAGAAGGCAAAGGAATGACTGAGTTGGTGCGTCTGTTGTTTTTTATTCATGGTCAGGATCATAGGGGATGGCATATGTCTAGGGTCTTAATTAAGGACCGATGGCCTCCCTGAAGACCTTGATGATGTCCCCAGAGGGAAGCTGCTCTGGGGTCTGTCGGAAGCCCTCTGGGCAGATGGTAATCCCAGGCAGAAGATCGCGTCCATTCACTTACACAAAATGCTACAACATATTTATTATAATGCAAGATGCAGTTTTAATTAGTTTTGCCTAAGTTTTAGTTTGTGGCCATTAAGTGTGTGCCATACCTTAAAATTGATTTTGAAGGTGACCTTGAATGGAGAGTGAGTGTATTTAAAACTTCCTGGATACCTACAATGTCATTCCATTAGGGAATAATTCCCCTTGCATGGGAGGCACCTCTGCTACTGAGGAGGAAATTTGTGGAATACCTGAGAGGTTTTGGTATTGCCCTGGAGGTTTGGGGGAGGGCATAGGGTTGGGGTGAAAAGTTCCATAAAGCCATATTGGTTTCTGGGATCATTTTGGGTCCATGGATAAAGAAGCATTTGGTCCATGCCCCCCACCCTTTTATTTCACTTCTTAGAGGCTGGGTTTTTGCCTTGTAGAAGTTGACCTCAATGAAGGCCAAGTTCGGGGTGGGGGGAGGCGGTAAGTAAATATGTATCTTGTTCCCCCAACTCTAGAGTGAGGGTCTTGTCTTCTTCCTTGGTTTTCATATTTTATTTTTGGTTGCCTCCTCACTGCAGAACTTTTGCAAGTTGTTTGACCTTACCAGGGTGGTGGCCTTTATAAAACTCTGTTCTCCACCTTTTCTGTTTGGTGTTCTCATGACTTTTATTTCTTGGCAAATAAGGTTACCAGGCTTGAAACAAGTTACTGTTGAGTGATGGTTCTTACTCTGCCCACCCCAACCCCCTTTTTTAAAATTTAAAGGCAGCAGCCAGCCCATGGATTATTAATTTAACATGGTCTGGGCAAACATGAAATTATGCCATCCCTGGGTGGGCAGTCCTGCCTGCTTCTCCCTTGTTCCTACATAGCCACTGGGGTTGGGGGGTTGTGCCAGTCTAGTAAAAGGAGGGCCTGGTGTGTAGGGAGAGTCAGCATAGCACTGTGCTCTGGTCTTTTGGGCCATGGACCATGGCAGGGGAGGTGCACTCACAGGAGGTTTTCCAGGTGCGCTCCAAGCCTGGTTTCCTTCTGGGAATTGGTTAGACATGGTTGGGGTGTGTGCTGAGTTTGTGTTTTAGAGACATTCGTTTATTGTGCTGTATAAGGAACAGATTGTACCAGTGGCTCTGCTGTTTATACTGTGAAGTGGGGTCAGTAAATCTGATTTATAACCTGGACACACAGAAGGAGGAGGGTTATCAAGATAAGGGCACTGGCACTTTTTTGGCACCTGTTTTTGTGCTGCTTATAATTTACAGGTCTTAAACAAGTCTGTCCTGCCCACAGGTCATTCATGTTCTCGAGAATTTCTTTTTTCTTTGCAAAGGCATTTAAAAATACATCTAGAAACATGTTCTCTAGTCATAGGCTGCTGTGAGGCTAGATTTCTTTTTGGATATGTTAGGGAGTTTTGTTCAGATGTGGAGGAAAAGAATCTTTGAGCATCTAACCATTTTCCATTTGAAAAAGAAAACAGAATTGAAACCAATGTCCTTGTTTTGCATTTAGGAGACATTAGTATGACCCTTATCATAGGGATTATGGATCAGCTGTCCTTTTTATTTTTAGAGGGGTGGGGGGATGTCTCAGTCTGGGTGAGTAAAGCAAACAGTTTCTGTATTTGCATAGTTTATGGAGCCCCAAGAACAGTTGTATTATTCTGAGAAGTGGCCAATAAATAGAATAGTTTATTTAAACAATTAAAATATTTGCCCTGGCTGGGTGGCTCAGTTGATTGGAGCATTGTCCCATACACCCAAAGGTTGCAGGTTTGATTCCTAGTCAGGATACATACCTGGTTGCGGGTTTGATCCCTAGTTGTGGCGTGTACAGGAGGCAACCAGTTCATGTTGAGCTCTCACATCGATGTTTCACTCTCTCCCCCCTCCCCTCTCTCTAAAATCAAATAAACATATCCTTGGGTAAGGATTAAAAATATAAATAAATGAAAATAATTAAAATATCTGTTCAGAGTCTTATTTTAAAAGCAAGATTTTATAATGTCTTTCATATGGATGGAAAGAATATGGCATCTAAAGTTCACTCCATTGCTGTTAGTCCCCCTTGTCACAGAGAATATTTTTATAATTTGTATATGTTAGATGAGTTCTCATTTTGACCTCATTAATTATTCGATTGAGTGAATCACTTGAGGGACACTGAGAGAAAGTGGACTCATCACAGACTGGTTTGCTCCTTCTGAAAGTATTTGTGATGTGCGGTGTGGGAAGCTGGCCCAGCCCGCTGCCACGTGCTTTGCTGTGCTGCCCTTGGTGACTGTGGTCTGCATTCACTGCTCCCAACTTGTCTGTCTTTGCAAATGGGCTCTTGGGGCTCTGCTCCTGACCACTCCCTCTGTGTGTTGCAGTGATGTGCTCGCTCTGCCCATCTTCAAGCAGGAGGAACCCCAGCTGTCCCCTGAGAATGAAGCCCGCCTGCCACCCCTGCAGTATGTGCTGTGTGCTGCCACATCCCCAGCCGTGAAGCTGCATGAAGAGACACTGACCTACCTCAACCAAGGTAGTGGCCAGAGCACTGGGCCAGGGCAGAGCCAGGGGGCTGGGGAGAAGGAAGGGGGAGTTGACCTGAATCCCTGAACCCCTATTTGGGTTTCATCACTTTGTCACAGTAGGGGGAGGTGGGGATCAGGAATGAGGCTGTGGTGTCAGATGGATTACATTTCCTAGCTGTGAGACGTCAGTGAGCCTCAGTGTTTTCATCTGAAAAATGGACACATCAACTCTGCTGTTACTTAGGCCAAATATGGGTAACATTCTTTGTACAGACCCTCCACACAGCAGATGGTAAGTGATTGCAGCCATTGTTATAATTGCTGTTTATTGTGACCACAACTGATGCCCTTTCCTGCACATAGATTAAGCACATTTGGTGTGCCAGGTCTGTCGTCATTCTGGAGCTGCACACCTGGTGCTGGGAAGACGGGCTGCAGCATGGGGGCTAGACTCCACACGTGCCAGATAGACATCCTTTGCAGTGATGGGAACACAGTGTCTCACTGTGTACCTCAAGAAAGGGCATGGGCTCTGGAGTTTACATTCCAACTTTAGCATTTCCTAGGTCTGTGACTTTGAGCTGTGTTTTCTTTTTTCTTTGAGCTTCAGTGTTTTCGTGTGCAAAATGGGATGTTTAATTTTGTGACATTTAAAACATGAAGGTATGTGAAGTGCCAGATATGATAGTGGGTTTTTGATTTCCGACTCCCTTTATCAGGAACCAAGTATCACTGTCTTGATGGATGGCATTTTTGTAGTTTTCCTGTGACTATGTGTATGCGTTTATTGCATTTTCTTCCTGAGTCACCTCATAGACACCCTGCATCAAGTGAATTGATTGCCCCTCAGTTTTAAATGGGAAGAGCAGCCCTGACTGGCGTGGCTCTGTAGGTTGAGCATCATCTCACAAACCAAAAAGTCACCAGTTCGATTCCCAGTCCGGGACATGCCTGGGTTGTGGCCAGGTGCCTGGTTGGGGGGTTGTGAGAGGTAACTACATGCTGATGTTTCTCTCTCACATTGCTGTTTGTCTCCCTCTTTCTCCCTCCCTTCCCCTCTCTCTAAAAAATAAATTGCATGTCTAAAAATAAATATAAATAAATAAATACATGGGAAGAGCAGAGGGGCAGGGAAACACAGTGGTCTCTGTAGACTTGCACCGAGTTGCAAGGGAGCTGGAGTGTGCTAGTGGTTTATCTTACACAGTTCTCCTTTCTGTAGAACTTTGACTCCTCAATTTGGGAAGTCAGCTTTGGGTGGAAGTTCAACCTGATCATCAAGCTCTCCTCTGAGCTCTCCTCTGACTGCTGAACTTGCCAGCTTCTGGGCCAGAGAACCAAATTATCAGGTGCCTCTGAGTAGAAACAGCCCTTTCCCGTGGTTGACTTGGCCCAGTGGAAGGGCATGTATATCCCTGTAATAGCTCTGTGGCCTCAGTGAGTTGCCAGGCCAAGCAGTAGGGCACCTGGCTCAGGTCCTGAGATCTGTGCTCCATTTGCTGAGTCCAGTGTCCATTGATGGTGGGTGATGTGGCCATGTGGAAGGTAGCTCTGTGAGTCTGGGCTTGTTTGTGGAAGGGCTTCAGCCCTTCTTTCTCTTTTACCAAAGTCACCTGCTGCCTGTTAGTTGTGTTACACAGTTGCTTCTCTCTCTTGCCTAAATGTAGCATGAAGAAATTGGATGATGTTTGTGGAGCATTGCACTCAGAGGCAGTTATTCCTGGCCCCATTCTGTGGTGTGAGGAGTGAGCACTCTGAGGAACTGCTGGACCTGGGTGCACACTGGCTGCACACACCTCCCTGGCCATCTTTAGGCCTTTGACTGCCTTCCCCACTTTCCCTCCGCCTCCTGCCTTTAACCAGTTAACTTTGGACAGGGTTTTACAGTCCGCATACCAGGTCTTTTTAAGAGTTTATCCTGTGCTCAATATAGATAAGCTAAAAGAGAGGGAGAATTGTCCCATGATCTTACCATCCTGTGTTAATTTGGTGCATTTATTTTAGATATTTTTTAAGCTGCATTTTCCTGATAATTAAAATAACACATGCTCATTAAATTTTTTATATGATTTAGAAAAGAATAAGGAGGAAAATCGAAAGAAAAGCAAAATCAAAATCTCTAATTTTACCTGAGAAACACTGCTACCCTTGTTTCCAGACACTTGTATAGACACCTTTCACAATTATGATCATGCACAGACACATGTCCTGTTCTCTTAATTTACTGTGTTTGTGAGCTTATGTCATTAAAAATGGTTTGAGAACTGCAGTTTTCATAATGGCTGCATAGTATTACATTTTGCAGTTGTTACTCGTCCAGTTTCATAATACATATACTTAGTTTTCAGTTGTTATCTTTGTGGGAAATGTTGATTTTTGTTTATTTTTAGATATATAACTTAGAAATAGAGTTAGAATTACTGGATCAAAGGGGTTGAATAAGGCTTTCAATGCAGTCACCACATTGCCTTCTCAGCATAGTGTCCTGGTTCTGGTGCTGGCCAGCGGGTGCATTGCACTGTTACCCTGCACTGGATGCTTATTAGTGAAAAGGAGCAATTCTATCACTGCTGATGTGGTTGAATATTTTCAGGTGTTTATTGATCTTTTTTATTTCTCCATCAATTATGTTCACATCCTTTGCACATTTTCCTATCAGGATGTTTATATCTTAACCGATAATAAGAGCACACCATATATGAAGAACATCAACCTTTTAGCTGCTGTACATTGCAAATATTTTCCCCAGTTGCAGGACATTTGACTATTTTATTGTGTATAATGATATTTACGGTGTGGGATATATGTCATGATTTTTTGTGTGTGTTTAGAAATTTAAGTTTCTGTTGTCAACATTTTGTCTTTTAAAATGGTTTTTATTTTATGCTTAGAATGCTTTCCCACCCCAAATCAGTTTAATAGTTTCCTAAATTTTATTAAATGTTTTTTAAATTTTAACATTTAAATGCAGCAGGAATTTGGGGGAAAACTTAATAATTCATTATTTGATGACATTTTGAATTATTAAAACATAAAATATGTTTTCTTACTTGCTTTTCCAGTAAGACTTATGTTATGTTGCATTTGGAATTTATTAAGAGATATAAAGGTCTAAGTTTGTATATTTTTCTAAAAAGATAACCTACTTACTAGTTATTATATAGTTTATCCTTTTCTATAGGTTTAAAATGCCACTTTGGAAACATTTAAAAAACCATATTCTAAACTTTTAGCTTAAAAACAGACCCTTATGCAGGTATTTGCCGTGCACCCTGTGATTAATTGGCACCCACTCCACTTCTTGGAAATAAGTAGTTCCCTATTTGGGAGTAGAAGCACCTTACAAAATTATTCGTAGCCATTCTCAATTATTCTTATAGATGGATTTTACAACCATTTAATTTTCCTTCTATATCCTTTTTTTTAACGTTTATGAGGTCATATGCTTTATAAAATTATTTCTTGCTTTTATTAAGTACTATTATTGTATAATATTTTCTGTCATTATTAAAGCCTCTTAAACATAATTTACTATGCCTGAATACTGTTTTATTATTTTCTTGTAGTATTTATGACAATATTATCATAACTGCTGGAAGAAAATATACAGTGTGATTATTATAGTGCCTGTCCCCCCATAATAAAATGGAAGCTCTATGAGGGCAGATATATATATTGGACAGATTATATCCCTAGCATTAAGCTTGGTGCCTTGATGATAGGTGCCCAATGAATATTCAGAAAATTAAAATTAGTCATGATTTGCGCTGGCCGGAGTGGCTCAGTGGATTGAGCACCAGCCTGCAAACCAAAATGTCACAGGTTCGATTCCAGGTCAGGGGTGATGCCTCAGTTGGAGGCCAGGTCCCCAGTTGTGGGGGGTGCATGAGAGACAACCAATTAGTATATCTCTCACACATCAATGTTTCCCTCCCTCTTTCTCCCTCCCTTCCCATTTCTCTAAAATAAATAAATAAATAAAATCTTTTAAAAAATAACATTAGGCACAATTTATTTTATTCCATTTTCTCTCTTTTTGTTCTATTATCAGTATGCTCTACTGGATATCTTTTTCAGCATACCTTATTTAAAGTAACCTGTCCTTCTGTGTCATATGACATAGGCATTGATTCAGTTAAAAGATAGTTTTGACACATCAGCCTCATTTTTTTTGGTCAATTGAAAAGTTTGCTATTAAGTATTTGTTTACCGCACTTGGTCTGTGATGTTGCAGTATTTCTATTGAGCCATCCCATGTCATTTTCCTTATAATGATGTGTTTCAAGTACTCTGAAGACATGGAAAGGAGGCTGTACCTGTAAATCAAAAAGCCACTGAAACCATTGGATGCCCATTTCTCAGTGCAGTGTCAAACCAATGCCCTGACCTCATGTGCCTTGGGCAAGGAGTATTAGATATGATTTCTTGTCACTGAGTCCAATGATTAATTTTGGATATGGTGAAAATGGTTTGGAAAACAAGTATGTAGCCCTGATTAGTGTGGCTCAGTGGGTTGGGCATCGTCCTATAAACCGAAAGTTTGCCAGTTTGACTCCTGGTCAGGGCAGATGCCTGGGTTGCAGGCCAGGTTCCTGGTTGGAGATGTGGAGAGGCAGCCAATGTTTCTCTTGCAGATCACATCGATGTTTCTCTCCTTCTCTCTCCCTTCCTTCCTGTCTCTCTAAAAATAAATAAATAAAATCTTAAAAAAAAAGGAAAAACAAAGTATGTCATTTTCCTCTGAAATGGAATCCTGAAGAAAAGGGGTGGACAGCTGTTAAATGTAAGTCTGAAAACTTTCAGATCGACTTTGTCAGTGGCCAAAGGTCACAGGGGACATGTCCTTCCTGAAGGCAGGCTGGAGCCAGAGGGAGGGGATGAAGTGGATGGTGAGGGAGGAGTCCTGGAGAATAGAGGAAAGAACCCCAGGCAATGTGTAGTAAATTCCGGCTTTGAGATAAGATACAACTGCAAGAATGACTTGTTTTGGAGAAAGCTGTGGTATTTC